GACCGGATGGCATACACCCAGGGGCCTTAAAGAATTGAGCTCTGTCATTTCAAAGCCATTGTTTCTAATTTTTAGGGACTCTTTAATGACTGGCATAGTACCATTGGATTGGCGTAAGGCCAATGTGGTACCAATATTTAAAAAGGGGTCAAAATCTTTATCTTTAGTAGTTATAGACCTGTTAGTTTAACTTCTATAGTTGGGAAGATACTAAAGAGTTGAATAACAGACCACATAGATGAGTTCTTGCTGGAAAAAATATTTTAAGCAACAGACAGCATGGATTCATGAAAGACAGAAGTTGTCAAACAAATCTGATTTCTTTTTATGAGGAGGTGAGAAAAACCTTGGACAGAGGGGTGGCGGTGGGACGTGGTATACTTGGACAGAGGGGTGGCAGTGGACATGGTATACATGGACAGAGGGGTGGCGGTGGACGTGGTATACATGGACAGAGGGGTGGCAGTGGACGTGGTATACTTAGACAGTGGCGGTGGACGTGGTATACTTGGACAGAGGGGGTGGCAGTGGACGTGGGTATACTTGGACAGAGGGGTGGCAGTGGACATGTAATGCTTGTATTATTTTGCAAAAGTGTTTAACATAGTTCCCTACACACGGCTAATGTGTAAGGTAAACTCTATGGGCTTGAAAATATCCGTAGTATAAATATAATGTATAATAGGGGGGGTTATGATCTCCATGTATAATACATAAGGGGGGATATGATCTCCTGTGTAAATTACATAAGGGGGATATGATCTCCATGTATAATACATAAGGGGATATGATCTCCATGTATAATACATAAGGGGGGATATGATCTCCATGTATAATACATAAGGGGGATATGAATTCTCCATGTATAATACATAAGGGGGATATGATCTCCATGTATAATACATAAGGGGGATATGATCTCCATGTATAATACATAATGGGGGGGATATGATCTCCATGTATAATACATAAAGGGGGGATATGATCTCCATAAGGGGGATATGATCTCCATGTATTAATACATAAGGGGGGTCAATACATGATATGCTCCATGTATAATACATAAGGGGGGATATGATCTCCATGTATAATACATAAGGGGGGGATATGATCTCCATGTATTAATACATAAGGGGGGGGGTATATGATCTCCATGTATAATACATAAGGGGGGGGGTATAATACATAAGGGGTATATGATCTCCATGTATAATACATAAGGGGGGGGATATGATCTCCATGTATTAATACATAAGGGGGGGATATGATCTCCATGTATAATACATAAGGGGGGATATGATCTCCTGTATAATACATAAGGGGGGATATGATCTCCATGTATAAATACATAAGGGGGGATATGAGCTCCATGTAATAATACAATAAGGGGGATATGATCTCCATGTATAATACATTAGGGGGGGAGATTATGATCTCCATGTATAATACATAAGGGGGGATATGATCTCCATGTATCTCCAGGATAATACATAAGGGGGGATATGATCTCCATGTATAATACATAAGGGGGGATATGATCTCCATGTATAATACATAAGGGGGGATATGATCTCCATGTATAATACATCGAGGGGGGATATGATCTCCATGTATAAATATGGCTCTCAGTAACCTCATACATAAGGGGGATATGATCTCCATGTATAATACATAAGGGGGGGATATGATCTCCATGTATAATACATAAGGGGGGATATGATCTCCATGTATAATACATAGGGAGTAGGATTGCTAATCATGTATAATACACATCACCGCTGTATAATACATAAGGGGATATGATCCTCCATGACGGTAGTTGGGTGGGGGATATGATCTCCATGTATAATACATAAGGGGGGGATATGATCATTCCATGTATAATACATAAGGGGGGATATGAGTCTCCATGTATAATACATAAGGAGTGGTATATGATCACCATGTATAATACATAAGGGGGGATATGATCTCCATGTATAATACATAAGGGGGGATATGATCTCCATGTATAATACATAAGGGGGGGATATGATCTCCATGTATAATACACTAAGGAGGGGATATGATCTCCATGTATAATACATAAGCGGGGATATGATCTCCATGTAAATACATAAGGGGGGATATGATCTCCATGTATTAATACATAAAGGGGGGATATGATCTCATGTATAATACATAAGTGGGGGGGATATGATATCCATGTATAATACATAGGGGGGGATATGATCTCCATGTATAATACATAAGAGGGGGGATATGATCCGATTTATGGTATACAATACATAAGGGGGGATATCCGGATCTCCAGTGTATAATACATAAGGGGGGATATGATCTCCATGTAAATACATAAAGGGGGGATATGATACCATGTATAATACATAGACGGGGATATGATCTCCATGTATAATTTACATAAGGGGGGATATGATCAACCATGTATAATACATAAGGGGGGGGGATATGATCTCCATTTATATAATACATAAGGGGGGTGATATGATCTCCATGTGGGATAATACATAAGGTGGGGATATGATCTCCATGTATAATACATAAGGGGGGAATATGATCTCCATTATAATTACATAAGGGGGATATGATCTCCATGTGATATAACATAAGGTGGATATGATCTCCATGTATTAATACATAAGGGGGATATGATCTCCATGTATAATACATAAGGGGGATATGTATCTCCATGTATAATTCATGTATAATTACATAATGGGGGGATATGATCTCCATGGTATAATACATAAGGAGGGGTATGATCTCCATGTATAAATACATAGTGGGGGATATGATCTCCAGTTTTGATAATTCGGTGGAGATATTATTCATGTATCATCACAAGGACAAGGGGATATGGATCTCCATGTACATCATGGAGGGGATTTATGATCTCCATGTAACACATAAGGGGGTTCTTATACAGTGAGATTGTATAATACATTAAGGGGGATTCTGGATCTCCAGTGGATTGCTTATTAGGGGGAATTAGTCATGGGGATACACAGTATAACTGGGATATAACATCGGTTGTTAAAGTATTTCATATCCTGGTGGAATAGGGGCCAATTCTTCCATCTGTCAGGGGATTTAGGAAGGGAACATTTCTCATTAACCCCTGGTGTGGGCTGTTGCATATTAAGATCATGCTGGGGGGGATGGCCTTCTTGTATGGATCAACATTAGGGGTATAGGTGGAATGCTTTTTTTCAGGGGATTTTTAATCTGAACTGGATGGACTATAAATAAGGGGGGAAATGATGATCCATGTATCAATACATAAGGGGGATATGATTCATGTATAATACATAAGGGGGGGGATATGATCTCCCTGTATATACATAAGGGGGGATATGATCTCTCATGTATAATACATAAGGGGGATATGATCTGCATGTATAACTCTAAGGGGGATATGTATCTCCATGTTAATACATAAGGGGGGATATGATCTCCATGTATAATACATAAGGGGGGATATGATCTCCATGTATAATACATAAGGGGGATATGATCTCCATGTATAATACATAAAGGGGGATATGATCTCCATGTATAATACATAAGGGGGGATATGATCTCCATGTATAATACATAAGGGGGATATGATCTCTCATGTATAATACATTAAGGGGGGATATGATCTCCATGTTATAATACATAAGGGGGGATATGATCTCCATGTATAATACATAAGGGGGGGGATATGATCTCCATGTATAATACATAAGGGGGATATGATATCTATAGATGGGCGATATGACATGACATAAGGGGGAATTCGATGAGGTAGTCCGATGATTTGGAAAAATAAGATTCGGGACGAGATCCGAAGATATAGCAAACTTCGGATGACGAATCGAATTTTCCCCAAAATGGGGGGGACATGTTGGCCACGGAGAAAATGGACAGAGAAGGGGGCGGGGATCTTCTGGGAAGGGGCGCAGACAATGGCGCGCTGACCCATAATGCAGGAGGGACATGTGATCTCCATTAGCCAATATCAGCAGTCCAGGGGCACTGTGATTGGTGGAGCTATAATAAGGGCCATATAGAATTCTCCATTAGCCTAATACATTCAAGAGGACAGACCTGTTATGTATTAAGGGACATGTATAGGGCCACAAGAGACTTTAGGGCCACATGATCGTTACTCAGGGATACTGAATCGTTACTCAGGGACACAGAATCATGTATACTTACTAAGGGAGCTATCAGAATCGAAATTTAAAGTACTTGATCCCAGCAGTTTATTTCAATAAGGGGGAACTATGATCTAAAGTATAATACATATACAACGCGGCTTATGATCTCCATGTATAATCGTACAGTCTTAAGGGGGGCTTGCAGTTTCCATGCTACTATATTTACATAAGGGGGGGGACTGAATTCTGCTTAACAACCACTACGGGGGGTATGTTCAAAGAGTTACGGCTACATCCATTTACAGGCCTGGCGGTAATATTTTTTGGCCCCCTGTACACGGGCTCCCATGTAACGTGGTTAAGCGGTGGATTGCATCACTTCGGCAAATGTATGACAATATGGGGACGTGATATGATGTTGTGCGCATTTAAGCCAGGACACCAAAGGGGGCACAGACCTGTTATTACTCGCTCAAGCATGGCTGGATATGACAGTCTCTACCATAAAAATAAGGGGACCCCATACCTGATATCTCAGGGTCTCATAAGTAGATTGCAGGAGGAGATAGAACCATTCGTTATTGGAATTAACTGTGAGGGATTTAAAACTAGGCCTGTGTTATGGCCTTCAATTAAAGCTGCTTTCTGCTCCGCCACTCTGCCATGGGACTCTTGATAGTCGTTCTCCCCACGCTGAATGCTGGGGGGACTTTTTAAACATAGGCCTCTGTATATTTTACGCGATAACTTAGGGCCCTGTTCAGCTCTTCTGCTATAGGCCCGTAATCATAAGCCATGGGATATACCGACTCCTTCATGCTTTAGGCCCCGTATGGGCCCTGTCATACTAAGCTGCGGCCACTCGTAATGCCATGATCCCTGTACCGCCTCCTCATGCTGCTGCCAGGCCCGTAATCTGTCATGGGCCCTGTACCGCCTCCTCATGCTGCTGCCAGGTCCAGAGTGTGTATGGGTCCCTGTACGGCCACTCCCATTGCTGCTGATCTCCATGCCACACTCTGCCATGTGAGTTATCTTCACTTTCAGGTCTCCTCCCACTGCTGGTGGGTTCCATTTTGTCATAGGGTGCTGTATGCCTCCCATTGCTGTGCCTCCACCGCCACACTGTGGGGGTTTTGGCCCCGTGACTGCCCAAATGAGTGAAGTGTGCGGTGATTCTAAGATCGACGGCACTCATCTGCATGTCATACTGACTGACAGTATTATTTCTCTTCCCCAGCAGACTCCAAGGGCATTTAAATTAAAGGTACAGTGTTCTGCACTAATATATAAGGCTCTCTGAAGCCTAGAAACACCCTTTTTATAAGTTAAATTCGCAGCGAATATATTCGGCTCATAAGCGAATTTATTCGGCGAATTCGGCGAATCAGTATAATAACCGAATTTTGAATAATTCGCTCATCTCTAATGATATCCATGTATATGCTATATAATAAATAAGGGGGATATGATCTCCATGTATAATACATAAGGGGGGATATGATCTCCATGTATATTACATAAGGGGGGGATATGATCACCATGTATAATACATAAGGGGGATATGATCACCATGTATAATACATAAGGGGGGGATATGATCACCAATTGTATAACCATAAGGGGGATATGATCTCCATGTATAAGGGGGGATATGATCTCCATGTATAATACATAAGGGGGGAATATGATCTCCATGTATAAATACATAAGGGGGGATATGATCTCCATGTATAATACATAAGGGGGGGTATGATCACCATGTATAATACATAAGGGGGGATATGATCTCCATGTATAATACATAAGGGGGGATATGATCTCCATGTATAATACATAAGGGGGGATATGATCTCCATGTATAATACATAAGGGGGGATATGATCTCCATGTATAATACATAAGGGGGGATATGATCACCATGTATAATATAATAAGGGGGAATATGATTCCATGTATAATACATAAGGGGGGATATGATCACCATGTATAAATATAAGGGGGATATGATCTCCATGTATAATACCAAGGGGGGGATATGATCTCCATGTATAATACATAAGGGGGGGATATGATCTCCATGTATAATACATAAGGGGGGAATATGATCTCCATGTATAATACATAAGGGGGGGATATGATCTCCATGTATATACATAAAGGGGGATATGATCTCTATGTATAATACATAAGGGGGGATCTCCATCGTATAATACATTTATGATCTCCATGTATAAATACATCAAGTGGTTCATATAGTGAACTCGGTGTAGAGTTATTCACCTTGAGGTCATCACAGAGGACAAGGGGGCACTCTTTACGTCTGGAGGAAAAAGACATTAATATCTCCAAACACGGAAAGGTTTCTTTACAGTAAGAGCTGTGGAAAATGTGAAGAAGACTCCCTCAAGAGTTGTTCTGGCCAGCTCAGTGGATTGCTTTAAAAAAGTCCTGGATTCTTTCCTGGATACACAGAATATAACTGGATATAACATTTGTAGGTAAAGTTGATCCAGGGAATATCCAATTGCCTCTCAGGGGATCAGGAAGGACATTTTTTTCCCTGCAGGAGCAAATTGGATTCATACTTTGCTGGGGTTTTTTTTGCCTTCCTCTGGATCAACTGTGGGTATACGATTATAACGTTTTTTTTTTTTTTTTTTATGGTTGAACTGGATGGACTTTTGTCTTTTTTACAGCCAGACTAACTATGTAAACTATGTATCGGCTGTCTGAGGCTGCATTTCACTTGAGCGTAGTGAACATGAGTGTTTTTCATGCATTTTAGCACATGAATTTTTTATTTTGCCTGTTTTCATACAGTGTTTTTAGGTGATAAATAAATGTAAAATAAATGCAAAGATAAATAAAAAGAATCACAAATAAATAATAAATAAATACAATAAATGAATACTATGCAATAATAAATATTAATTAACCCCAACCTTAACCCTATAACTGTTAAAAAATTACATAAGTAATTAATAATAATAATAAAAAACACCCTAACACAAAGTAAATAAAATAATTTATTAAATTTTGTATTATTTTTTTATTATTATATAATAATAATAATAATAATAATAATAATAATAACAATAATGTATTTACGTTTTAGAGTTATGGAGTTAGGGTTAGGGGTTATATATTATTTATTTATTTCATTTTATGTATTATCAATTTGTTTTATTTATGATGATTTTTATTTATTATTATTATTATTATTATACAGGATTTATATAGCACCAACAGTTTGCTCAGCGCTTTACAATATAAGGGAGACAGTACAATTACAATACATTTCAGTACAGAAGGAATAGGAGGACCCGGCTCCTGGAGCTTACAATCTAAAGGAAGGGGGAGGTGATACAAAAGGTGATAGCTGGGGGGGATGATCTGGCGGAGGTGATTCAAGTACAGTTCTTAGGTGGAGAAGGGGTAGGCTTCCCTGAAGAAGTGAGTTTTCAAAGATCGCCTAAAGGCAGATAGGGTGGGGGCTGACCGGACATGCTGTGGTAGGGAGTTCCAGAGGATGGGAGAGGCTCTGGAGAAGTCCTGGATGCGAGCGTGGGAGGAGGTGATGAGGGAGCTAGAGAGGAGGATATCATGGGAGGAGCGGAGTGGGCGATTTGGGCGGTAACTGTGGATGAGGTTGGTGATGTAGCTACGGGCAGTGCTGTGGATGGCTTTGTAAGCTGTGGTTAGTACTTTGAATTTTATACGTTGGGTTAGTGCAGTGTTTCTCAACTCCAGTCCTCATGGACCCCCAACAGGTCATGTTTTCAGGATTTCCCTCAGATGAAACAGCTGTGGTAATTACTAAGGCAGTGAAACTAATCAAATCACCTGTGCATAATAATGGAAATCCTGAAAACATGACCTGTTGGGGGTCCATGAGGACTGGAGTTGAGAAACACTGGGTTAGTGGAAGCCAGTAGAGGGATTGGCAGAGAGGGGCAGCAGTCACTGATCGGTTGGTAAGGTGTATGAGTCTAGCAGCAGCATTCATAATAGACTGAAGGGGGGGACAGCCTGTGTAATGGTAGACCAGTGAGGAGGGAGTTGCAGCAATCGAGGCGGGATATAACCATGGTGTGGATAAGTTGTTTTGTGGTGTCATTGGTCAGGAAGGGGCGGATTTTGGAAATGTTCCGGAGGTTGAGGCAGCAGGATTTAGCCAGTGAGTGGATATGGGGCCCAAAGGAGAGGTCAGAGTCTAGGATTACGCCTAGCATCCTGGCATGAGGGGAAGGACCAATGGTTGTGCTGTTGATCTTTGGTAAAGTCATGAGTGGGGGATCGGGGAGGAGGAAATATATTACAAGCTCAGTTTTTGAAAGATTGAGTTTAAGGTAGTGATGTGATTTATTTGTGTATCTATTTTACATTTATTTATTCATATATTATTTCTATTTTTTTTTTTAAATTTCATTTGAGCAGAAAATCACGCAAAAACGTGCAACAAATCGCACAAAGGAATGCAAAAACCCACAAATTGAGTATTTCCATTAATTTCTTTGGGAATAAAAACACACCAAAAAATGCGCAAGTCTGCCCAGCTACAAAATACGCTCCAGAACTTGCTTGAGCTTCAGGTGTTCGGCTTCAGGTGACTTGGAGTGGAGGTGTAAATCATCTCTATTGAGAATAATTGATTTTTGGTCCTCAAGTGTTTTGGAGTTTCGAGCTACAAAACGCTCAGGTGTGAATGAGGCCTGATTGGAAATGTAACTTCTGGTGACCTCTGACAGCCAACTTGGTGTGGGACTATATAAATTAGGGTATCAACATAATTTGGGCATGCCTGGAGTGAGTGATAGGTCAGGGATAGAAACCCAGTTTGCTAGGGAGAGTGAATTGCAAAAGGAGAGGTTCCTGGCATGGAAGATTAGCTCAGGGACAACACCTGTACACAGGAAACAATCTGGTGTCTGGACTAGTGAAGTGGGGCTCCTCCCAGCAACATAAGAGTGCCATCCCATATACCGCCAACTCCCAACCCTCCAGTGGAAGCCATCCTCTGGTAATACAGGCCCAAGCCTGGTGATATTGTACAAATGCCAACTGCTATGTTGTCTAATATCAGTGCCTATGGAAACGCTCTCCCTCTGTTTTATTCCTTACCGCTAACCTATATACAATATACAAAATATATTACAACTTCAAGGACTATGTACAGTATGTGTGGTGTCGACCAGATTGGGTACCCGAGGCCTAGGCCCTACCTTCAAGTGGCCCAAGACAGACAGCAGCTGAATTTTTTTCTCTCCATATCAGTCTTAGGCTGCCCATATACCAGTCCAATTTTGTTTGAAAAATTTCATTTTTGGAATGTGCATTCGTTTTTGTAATGGTTTCATTGACATGATGATGGCAAGAAAAACATTCTGAGCAAATGTTGGAACAAAAATCTAAACTTGTATGGCCAACTTGAGGAGAAGGCTGGGGGAGAGCGACTGTGGAAGCAGGACAGCAGTGAGAAGATACATGAAGAACCTTTCTCTACCAGCAGAAGTTGATAAGAGGACCATACATATGGACATGGTAGACACAACCCTGGATGTTCTACTACTTCAATACCAAACACTTTCACCCCCTTCCTGCCCAGGCCAATTTTCAGCTTTCAGCACTGTCACACTTTGAATTACAATTGCACGGTCATGCATCACTGTACCCAAATTAAATTTTTATCATTTTGTTCACACAAATAGATGAAAAAATAGTGAAAATGTAGAAAAATTAGTTTTTCTTCCTTTCTGTTATACAATTTTGCAAATAAATAATTGTTCTTCATAAATTTACACCAAAATGTATTTCTTCAGTGAAAATAACTCAAATCAGTGTATAATATTTAGACTGTAGGGAAGTTATGGAGTCCACAAACTATGGGATAATATCTGAAAACCAAAATATCCTGATGTACTGACAGCCTACCTACTTTTTTGAGGCCTTAAAATGCCAGGACAATACAGATAAATTATGCTTAAATTACCCATTTTTGGAATGTAGACAGTCCAAAGTATTGATTAAGAGGCATGGCGAGAGAGGCATGTCAGGAACACGTGCACGGGGTGGAGCCTAGCTATGGTGGCGTAGGAGAGCATGGAGCGGGTGCTCTCCGAGATCCCCACACCGCCCTAGATGCCTGAGGGATTGTAAACCAGGGACCTACCTGAGAGTGGCGGGGCCCGGAGTGGAGTTGGCGATCCGAAG